GAGGAGGAGGAGGAGGAGGAGGAGGAGGAGGACCCCGCCGGCGATTGCGATCCGCCTGTACCGACCTTAGTGCTCTTTGGCTCCCACGGTCTAGTGCGTGACATTGTCTTCTTCGTCTTCTTCTTTCTCGTTGGCACCTTGTCGCCGTTGTTGTCGTACGGCACGTGCCCGGACACCGCCTCTGTAACCCGTAACCCCGACGCGCTTAGTACCCGCCATCCGCGCTCTTATCATCTCTCCGCGCGACGCGCTGTGCTTTCGCCGGGGTGTTTCTCGGCCACCCTTTACATACACAACTTTATCGTCCGTGCAGGCTCTCTGTCAAACTCATCTCTCTCTCTCTCTCTCTCTCTCTCTCTCTCTCTCTCTCTCTCTCTCTCTCTCATCCCGTCCCATACCCTCAGGGGGATCTCGCGACCCCGACCTCCCACCTCCCTCCCTCGGCGGGGGATGCGGATCCCCCGATCCCGCCTCCTCCCTCCGCGGGGGACCGCATCCCCCGACCCCGCCCTCCCTTCCCATACCCTCCGCAGAGCGAGGACCTGCATCCCCGACCCCGCCCTCCCTTCCCATCCCGTCCCATCCCCTGGGGGGGGATCTCGCGACCCCGACCTCCTCCCTCCACCCTCCCTCCCTCCCTCCCTCCTGGGGGACCCGCATCCCCCGACCCCGCCGCTCTCCCCCTGGCGGGTGCATCAGGGTTAACAGCGGCCTCCGCTGGCCGCGCGCCATAGAGCCTGCGCGAAAACGCTCTTATTTCAGCTAGGAGGATCGCGGTCGCAGACGGAAAGGCGAGGCTTGCGGGGGATACCTGGGGATACCCGGGGATACCTGGGGTATCTGGACCACAGACCCCCATTTTGTACTCTGCTTGGCGCTAGTGGGGTTCGATCGGGGTTACCAGCATGTCAATCGCACTGATGTTGTGCGTTGCGTGCGACCATTTCTGTGCATTTCTCGATGGGGCGCTCGGTCGACAGAGACACTAACTTGTGTGACGCACAAAACAAACGCATGGCAGGACGATATCTTTGCATACAGTGCTCTTTATTTCTCGTCGTCATCACATTACATTATCTTGGAAATCAGTGAATGGTACGAGACAGATAACGACACAGACAACGGTGCACTGTCGATTGACATAAACATTAATCCAAGTCTGCTGTCCCGTTACACCACCTTGGCGAGGTGCTTCGTTGGGGATAGCTGCGACTGTCGATTACTCGCGATGGTGGTTACTTGGTTGCGGTGGATCGAAAATCCATTCGTAGTGCTGGAATACGAGTCTCACCGTGTTTGTTCTGCGCTGTGCCGTTTCGTGGGCTACGTCGCGAGCGTAGCGGGCGCTGTTTGCAGCATTACAAGCGGTACATGTGCACGTCTTGTCGAACGGAGCCACGACTTGAACCGCTGCATTTCTTTTGTATCTGTCCCAGTACTTCTCGGGTGAACCCTGCACTGGTTCGGGGCGCTGCTCTGTTGTCCCCGGTGTCGATCGCACCTCCTGTACATGCTCTTCGAGCGTACCGTGGTCTGCTTGGGAGAGGCGAATCCTCTTATTCTTCTTATTCTTCTTCTTCTTGTCGTTGCGATCGAACGACTCCATCGTGAGCCACGTACGTCGACGTGCGGAACGGGGAAAGGGGGCTAGTAGTCAGACTTTGACGCTTGGTCTTCATTGTGTCATGAGTGTGTACATGAGTTTTTCCCTCTAAGATCGTTCTCTTTCACTAAAAGACATGGAGCGGTTGAGCGTTGTTTGACCACGATTACTTTCGGATAGGTGGCCCTGATGATGGCTGTAGAACCAGTGCTCGGACGCGACAACTTAGGAACGGGCTGGATCGCTTACTACGTACACCAGGTTCGCCATTGTCGATACCATCACCGTTGTGAATAGCGCTAGAAAAGCTTTGTACCGCAGCTGTACATCTACACGACACACGGCGCCAGTACAACAGCACGCATAGCACATATACACAGGTCGGTGGCCGCCTGGGTTATTCTCCGCTGTTTCACCCCTACTGAGAACGGTATATAACCTGGACAGATCCACAACTGCGATCAGACGCTTTGAGACGAAGGGTTGACAGCGGCCGTGTGTAACGGAGACACAGATACTGTCATGTCGCAGGTCTACAGCGTACGTTTGGTGCACCCACGGACGGGGCTCCCGGACAGCGAGATACGCCGCGTGTGGTTCCTGTGCCGCCCTTGGGGCTGAAGACATCATGAAAACACACACGTTATCCGCTAACACTTTGGACAGGATCAAATGCCCGGAAGACTTGGCTGCGATGGCACCCCGTCACATAGCCCTCTTGGACCTGGAAGACATGAGCGACATGTGCTTAGACGGCTTTCACATGGTGGACTTTTGGTTTCATTGTAAACTCGAGTCGTTCGTGGCCGGATGGGCTCGTTGGTACGTACACGTGGATCGGGTGACTGGTGTGGGATGGAGTATGATCCTGCTGCTAGATGGCGAGGGCAAAACGGTGGCGGACGCGGAGGTCCTCTCGAGGAAGCTATGGCTTGCTTACAAGACGTACTTTGAATGGCAATGGGTTGTCAAGCAACCTGGGCGGCCGGGGGATACGCGTAAACCCGACATCACGTATGGGGAACACGAATACGAAAACCGACGGGATAAACTGCTGTGTGTCTCCATCGAGGGCGAGCGAGGTGACTTTGGGCGAGTGGTTGACGATCGGATGACCGTGATGCCGCGTATGGGCGAGGTTTATCGGACCGAACGACACGAAGGAGAGTGTCTTCTGTGGTGTCACACCAACGACGCTGGTGACAAGCGAAAGGCGTCGACGATTAGGCTGTGGTACCCGCAAACAGTAGAAGAATCGACAGATTAGACCGCGGCTAGTGTGCCGGGCAGCCTATCGTCGTGTCACACTCTCTGCTTTACGCTTTAATTGTATTGCTGTTGTGTTTTTTTCATCGTATCCAAATGCTGACTGTAATAAAAACATGACCTGATGTGTGTCTTTTTCTGATTGCACCACAATGTTGATAGCAATATAACAAACGACCTGATGTTTTTTTGGAAGCCACGTAAAGGATTGCGGTGGACTGAGGGCTGTCACAAATGTTACTGTGTGCATTGTATCACCATTGCTGACCGTAATAAACTAAATGGAATGTTACATTCTGTTGTTCTGCGTGTGATCCTCTGTGTTTGGTCTCTGTGTTCTCTCATGCACCGGCTACAAATTCAAGCCCATTCTATGTCATCTGAACGTAAGCTCATTTTGGTACGGGGGCAGGTACAATAAGAGCTGACATTCGACCGGTACTGCTTATGTGTGGGTATGTATAGTTCACACTGCTTCTGAGACTGTCAGGGCCGTTCCTCGCTTTCGCCGTCTGCGGTTACGTTCTGTATCAAATACAGACATCCAGAGACCTGCGATCGTGATGCCTTTGGCGATTCAATACCAACCGAAACCAAGGAGAGCGAAAGTGCTACATTGGACACCCGTGCGACGAGACGGACGCGTCTGAGACGGCATCCTACGTTGTACATTATCCCCGACCTGGGTAGGTGTCGAGCTGTGGGATGCTATATGGATGTGATTGCAAGACAGTGAAGCTCACTCTGTGACAGTATCGGTGTATAACGCAGCAGCAGCAGAGCAAAGCCAGTGATGCCGCAAGTGCACAGCATACGTTTAACGCACCCGAGGTTGGTGTTCCCTGACGGAGAAATGACGAAGCCTTATACGGTGTGTAACCCTTGGGCCAACGACATCCTGAAGATACACATGTTGTCTGGCAAGATGTTACAGAGGATCAAGTACCCGGAGGAATGGGGCGAAATGGCGCCCGATTACGTAGACTTTATGGACCTACAAGACCTGAGTGCGCTGTGCCTTGACGGATTTCACATGGTGCAGTTTTGGCTTGATTGCAAGCTCAAGGCTTTGCTGGTCGGATGGGCTCGTTGGTACGTGTACGTGGACAGAGTGGCCGTGGTGGGATCACGTATAACACTGCTGTTAGAAGACGAGGACAAGGCGGGGGCGGACACGGAAGCGCTCGCTCAACAGCTATGGCTTGCTTACAAGGATTACTTTGGATCGAGATGGGTTGTCGAGCAGCCTGGCTTGTGGGGTGACCGGCGCAAGCCCGAGACCACATATGACGACTGCCAATATGAAGTCGAGGAGGGGAAGCTTATGCGTTTCACTTGGTACGTGTACGTGGACAAAGAGGATGAACGCGGTGCCTTTGGACGGCTGGTCGACGAGCGGATGGCCGCGATGCCGCGTATGGGAGAGGTCTTTCGGACGGAACCCAACGGCAGCGATTGTCTTCTGTGGTGCAAGACCAATGACACGGATGCGAGGCGAAAGGCCGCAACTCTTAGGCTCTGGTACCCCGAACAGTAGAACGGGGGCAAAGTGTTCACTGTATTGTATTGTATTGTATCGGCTTGTTATCACACTGCTTGTAATAATAAACCTACATGAAATGTTACATGTTGTTGTTATGCGTGGGACTCTCATTTCAGTCTAGTCCGTCCGCTCGCTCTTCTAACACCACAAACACTGACTTACGCCGTTGTGGTAAAACACACACACCCCGCTACTGCGTTTACCGTGCTGTGCTTGTATATAAAATCACACACATTGGACAACTATAAGTGAGAGACCTCTCAGTTACAGCGTTCGTTTCTTACAAAAGACCGACAAACGTGGGGATGGCTAGGTCTTCGCTGGGTATATGTGGTCGATGCGAAACACGACAACCGGGGGTGGGATTGTCGGTAGGACAGCGAGCTTTGTTGTGAGACGGCCAAACCGTTGGCGAGTGTATTTGCCCGAACAATGGGAGAGTTGGACTCACTTGCATTTGCACACCGCACATAATTGAGGTAGTTCTTACGATGGACGCGTGGTATGTGTTTTTGTACTTTGTCACTCGTATGCTGACAGTGAATTCGGCAACTCATTCGCTGATCTACATTTATACAGCGCTCGACTCAGCAAGCAGCAATGGTTTGGCGTTAACCTAGATGTCGCGATGACTCGGACGGGACACTCTGCGTCCGATGGGGATCTACATGTTCTACAGTGATTGCACGGATGTTACGGGGAAACGAACCCCTCCGAGGAGAGGCTGCGTTTTTGTCAGCGGGGTGGATAAGTACGCTTACGATGGTGACGATTTAATGTCTTTTGATTATGTCACAGGAAGGTGGTCGGCTGAAACCGAAGCGGCGAAAACCATCGCGGACAAATGGAACGCTGTGACCGTATTGACCGAATACACCATCGGCTACTTGCGCGGCGAGTGTATCGACTGGTTGACTAGGTTTGTTGAATACAGCAAACGGGGACCCAGAGAAAGGGCAACCTTCCCTGACGTGTACGTGTTTACGCTGAAGACAAACGGCACTACTCTCACATTGATTTGTCTGGCCTCTGGTTTCTCCGGAAACACGCCTGCGATGAGACTAATGAGAAACGGCCGAGTTCTCAACACTGACGACGGTCTTAAGGTGTTTGACACTCTCCCAAACGACGACGACACGTTTCAAAGACGGATCGTTGTGGATATCCTACCCTCTGACACGGGGAACTTCACCTGTGAGGTGTCGGAGGAAGACACGGGGTATCACATTGTCAAACACTGGCGAGCGGGGGATCGCCAAACTCTTTGCGCACTTGGCTGGCCGAACGCTGCTTTGCCGTGGGCCTTAATGTCAACAGTGTTGTGTTTGTGCACTGTAGCTTTGTGTCTGGTGGTGGTGTGTATCGTACGACAACGGAGGACTGGACACATTGTAAACCAAACCGATCGCTGCCCACAACACCACGGGCTACGAGATGAGACATCTGGAGTTTGATACATAGTGCCTCGTATGCGTGTATGTCTCAAGAAATGATCTATGTTTCAATAACACCTCTACTGTTGTGTTTACGTGTATGTGTGGCGGCAAGTGTCCCAGATTCAGTGTTGTATCAGTTATTCTGTTTGAGTGTGTTACGACACAACGTTAAACTTTTTTTTTCAACTGAACACGGCTTGTTTCTTTTCTAACTTGTACATTAGCAGAGGAAAACGTAACAGTTGGGGGTCCTGAGGACCCAATGAATCTCGGATGGCTGACAACATCGGACGACATGCGTGTGTTGTACGGCAGTGGTGGTAACAGACACCATTGATTGTTACTGCACTTTATTTTCTAGAACATAGCGTAGACCGTAAACCATGACATCTGTGTATACAACACATTGTTTTTTCATAGGACTCTGCTATTTTACATTCTTCACCGCAACAGTATAACAACGTAACCGCTGATATCATGGGAGTACATTGACAACAATATAAACAGTGACACTGGTGATTACATACGTTAGGCTGTATGTATGATACAACCAAATAAGACTAAATCTTCCTCCCCAGGCTACAATGTTCATCGCATTGGTCTCCGTTGTATACAAACATGATACGAAAACACAAGAGTACCATCGTGTACTAGTACATGGCACACACAATACTTCATGACCATTGGCATGCTTTATATGGAATACAAAAAAACAATTGTAACACACAATATTCAGCGTTATCATTTCTTACAGCCCTGTCATTTCTTGCGGATTGTGCTGCTGCAAGTTATAGTCCACGTTGACCCTTTTCTTCTTTTTCAAGCACATCCTGCAGCATAGCACACAGCACACGCAGCTGGCTATCGCTATTATAACAACTACAGCGATAGCTATGTACAATCCGTAGGTTGCCAAGAACGAGTCTTTGCCGTCTTGATACAAGTCTCGCCCGCTTTCGACACGAGCGGCCTCTTCTTTCAGAGCAGCGAACACGCCAGAATACTCGACCTCTTCATCCTCGCTCATGTCATTGTCGATAGTCTTCTCATCCTCTTCGGTCAAAGGGTGGCCCGTGAGCTCAGCCAGGGCTGTGAGTCCGCCGTTTAGGTCTTTCGCGTACAGGCTGTTTCCCACTTTGATTATCTGCTGAATGGTCGCGAGTTTCTCCTCGGGCACCCCTACGGATTTGGCGAACTTGATGATGACATCTTTGTTGCTGACCACGGCAGCTCCTATGGCTTTAGCTGCCCTCTTTGCCTTATTGGACGTTGCAATCCTTTTGACGGCCTCCAGCTTCTTCTTCAGCTTCTCTGCCGTCGAGGCCTTTGTGTCGATTCTATACACACCCTTGGCTACCGCCACTTTGCCCGAGCTGACCTTCGTCGAGCCCGCGTACACCTCGCAGTTTGTCGAGGAACACTCTTGGCACAGCTTCACCAGGCACTCTTTCAGCGTCTGCGTGGTTTGGCATTGAGCGGACCCTAGGGTTTCCGTGTTGGGGCATCTGTATGACACTTTGGCCTCGGTCGAGCCGTAACTCTTCAACGTCAGCCCTTCCAGGCTGGTGGTGAGGATTCTACCGTTGTCGTCCTTTTTGGAGTACCCCTTGAACAGCCTGGTGTCGTCGCACCGCTGCACGGCGCAGGCTTTGCACACCAGTTGCTTGTACGTCTTGTACGTGGACGTGCGGCCCACACTAGACGCGTCCACTGTCACAGTCTCACCGTTCAGACATGTCGCGCTGTAGCTCTTCTTGGTCGAACTGCAGCTGGTGGAGTAGAACAACGCTCCTAAGCACAGGATAGTGTAGACCGCTGTCTTCATAGTTGACAAATTAACCGGAGATGCTTCTGCGTGACTCTGATGTCTACGTCTGGAAACGCGTTATGTCCGTAAGCTGTTGCGTTTTCTCAGCAGTGGCAGACTGTTGGGATAAAGCGGCCTGTTTGGGGTAGTATTTAATCACAGTCAGAGCCGCCGACCCGCAGGTCGGGAGCCGCCGACCCGCAGGTCGGGAGCCGCCGACCCGCAAGTCTGGTGAATATAGGTAGCCTGGGGCTAGTAATAACACCCATGCTTTGAAGATGCATTCTCTGATCATTGATTGTAGACATGATGTGTCTTTTGCTTTTGTGTCTCATGTTTCTGTTTGGAACTACAGCACAAAACTGTCAGGTCGACAAAGCCGGTTGCTGTATGTGTCGTGCTGGCACGGTGTTGGCAGCTGGGGGGGATTGTGAGGAACCCCGGTGTGTAGCTTGTAAGCTATACACATACATGGACGAGCACAACAAGCTGACTACTTGTATGTCACAACCCTACTGCGATCCCAACAAAAACTTTATATACCAAAACAGTTCTTCCAGCCTAACATACGCCTTTTTTTACATGGATGGACGGCATTCCATTAGAACCGTAGAAGATCAGAGTAAAAGAACACGGTTTACCACGTATCCAAGGTTCGAGACACCATTATGTTCAAAGCTGGACACATTTGTGACCTATTGTATGCCGTGTTGGCCTTCTACAGGAGGCACCGCGGTTGTCTGCCAACGGGGTGTGCGTCCTAAATTTGCCAACGGGCAACCACAGTGGTCCGACACATACGAGCCCAAGTACAGTTTGTACAGCCCGACTAAACGGCTCCGATGTGTGTGTAAGCCCGGATTCCACTGCTCTAGTGGTGAATGTATGACCTGCATTGAATCTGAACAGCCCGCTGCCGTTACCCAGGCACCTGCGCTTCTATCTGAGGACTCTGACGTGAGAACATCAACCCCGGGAATTATCTCTGCTGTGTGTGTCGTGTTTGTGCTGTTGCTGATGTGTGGCCTAAGCTGCAGATATCACAGTGCGCTACGCGTTGTGTGTGCGCGCGCTGGGAACGAATGCCGTGTTGGACTATCGGCTGTCAACGACTGTATCACAGGATTTGTTAGGCAACTCAAGAAAAGACCAGCTACACAGACTGCCCTTGTGCTTACTGTGTCGCATGCCGACAATGTCATCTCCGATACACCTAATCGTGAAGAACCCATGACTGACTGTGACCAAGTGCGTAGAATTGGTGAGCGGAAGATAGCGGGTGTCCGAGTTACTATCGTCTTGTATGCTTTTGCGTCTGTCTCCATATTGAGCACACTTACTGTTGGAACTCTGTACATAACAGACCGATTGCTGACGACCTATTGCGACTCGACCATCTCTGTTTACACCTTTCCGCTGGGCTACACTGTGACAAGCAAAGGCGTGGGGAACTTGGAGGCTGTAGCGCTCTCGGGGTTCTTGGATAGATGCAGGACACAAAACGAGTTCGTGGTGCCCGCCCGTATCAAGTTACACAAGGCCATCAGGTGTCTGAGAGCTAGCAGAGAATACAAGAGAGCATCCGGTGACGCATCGCAGTTCAAGCAATCGCATGATACCGAGGACTCTGACTCTGGTCACGCAGGAGTGTCGGGGTCCTTTGCTGGTGTAACGGCCTCGGCCGAAGTGACGTTCAGTAAGACTGATGCCGTGGAGAGGTCGATGGAGAGGACGGTGTCTTCGAGCAACAAAATGTCAGTCTCGTCATCTTCGTATCAGTGCCAAGTGGGCAGCGCAACCTTCTCGTCCTACGAACCCACCACTGCGCTCCGCGCGTCAGTGAAGGAGCTTAACAGCAACCCAGACGGATACATCGATGAGTTCCTCCACACTTGGGGCTATGGGTTCGTAAGCTCAGTGGAGGTTGGTGGATATTACAGCTCGTTTGAGGTGTTCTCTACCTGCAACAAGGACGCTGAAAACAGCTTGAACGATGCTGCTGAGCGCTGCAGAGAGAGGGGAGCTAAAGTCGAAGTCTCTGGCTTTGGTGTAGGAGCTAGCGCTGGTGGTAGCACGTCACGGTGTAACACGGAAGGGCTGTCAGAGTATCAGAAGAAAGTACTGTCATCTATATCTAGACAGTCTCAATACGTGCAGATAGGAGGGGACGACCTCGGGCGAGAGAGCGAGTCGGAGAGCACGCTCAAGATGAACCCGTACCCTCTGAGGGTGCGCATAACCCCGAATTTCCACATAAACGGTATATCTCAGACTGCTGTCAAGTTGCTAAAGCGCAAGCTTCAGAACGTTGAGCTCTACCCAGATGAGTTTTTAGCCGAGCAGGTACCGGACATAGTGGCAAGGCGTTGCTGATGGGGGCGGGGGGGGGGGCAAAGGGGATTATTTCATGCTCTTTTCATGCAGTGTGTGTATATTTTTGTAAAAGCCACTACCACGATAAGTCTATTTTACTTGTGATATAAAATTGTATATGTAACCTCAACACGCTGATGTATTTGTGAATAAACAAACGTACACTGTGATCTTGTACGGGGGTTTTCATTTGACATTTGGTGTATAAAGGAATCAAACCCAGCTCAGTGTATGATTGCGTTTTCAACGCAAATGAAACAGTGTAAAACACCACACAATAACAGTATGTCTCAGCTTTTATTTGTGCTGCACAGATGCCATATGGTTTACAAAACAAGGACAGAAAACAGAATATTACTCATCCATCAAATCAGTTCTCCTCCACTGCACACAGGCAATGACGGATCTCGCGTATGAACATCGACACGGTAGAGTCACAACCCTTTGCCCACTCTCTGCTGTGACAGCAGTGAGATCGTCCGTGACGTTGATCAGTTGACAGCACACAACGACAATCACAAAGGGTAACATTCCGATGGTTCGTACGTCTCCTGTGTGTCACTGCCGGAGTCAAATGTGTTGTTTATGTTTCCTGCGAGGTATATATACACAGACACTGTCACCACACACATCGCACTACATGCATACCGTCGTTACAATGCCAGGTACTCATCGACTCACCGTACGCCATCCCAGGGTGGCGTTCCCCGACTCTAAGATCGACAAACTCTCTAGACTCTACAGCCCCAGGCTAGACAAAATTATGAAAAGGCACGTGCTCTCGAGCTCAATGACGACCAAGATGACCGCGGACGAGAAGCCTAAACTGTACACGTTACTGCCGTATATAAAGCTTTTGGAGGTGGAAGACCTGGGTGCGCTGAGCACGGACGGGTTTCAGCTGTGTCAGTTTTGGTCGAGATATTACACGAACAGGGATTACGTGTGCTGGCCGTGGTACGTGCAAGTGGATCGCACCGCTGACTTAGGGTGGACGTTGACCCTTTTGATGGAAGACGACACGATGGATATAGAGCGCTTCACTGAGCAGTTGTGGAAAGCTTACAAAGAATACTTCACGCTCAGCTGGATACCAGGAGAGGCAGATCGACACACCGACTGCCGGTTTGAAGACAACCGCTGGAAACTCGTAAGCGCGGCGATCGACAAAGACCTACGGGAGTTGGTGGATGACCGCTTTAGTGTGGTGCCTCGCTTAGGTGATGTTTTCCGTGAGACGGAATCGCAGCAAGCTACTTGCCTGCTGTGGTGTGACACCAACCAAGACGCCTTGAAGTGGAACACCTTTTTGTTTTGGTATCGAGAACGCCAGAGATGAAATGGGATTCAGTGAAGCGTGTCCACAATTGAGCTGTGCTGTGTGTAACATACAACAACGACAACACCGGCTACGGTGCTTATGGAAGCAACGATAAACCTACTAAGAATGTCCTTTGTGTAACATGCAGTGTACCTACATGACTTGTGAACATAAACATCGGACCACACTAATAAAAGAAACCACACTAACCCTGTGCGTGTCACCTTGATTTTATTTGCTGTTGCCAACATTCACATTCACAATAACATCGGGAGCGACGCATATACATTTCACTGGTTACGGTGCGCAGTCTACGAGTCTGTAGCTCGAAACACTTTATAGCCTTTCCATTCGTCCGTCAGTCCGTATATGTGCATGTTATGTGACATGAGTATCAGGCCAATACTGTGCTTTGTAGCAACTGGTATGTCTGGATCACTAAGCATCTTGCGAATTGTGTTTTCCTGACACGACATCTTGGTTGCGAGAACAAGCTCTTCGTATTCCTCGGGTCAGGATCACGCCTTCTGCCCACATGTCCTCAACGGCGTCCTGGATTGTGGTGACTCTGGATAACAACTGGTGTAGTTCCATGTCCTCCATTAGTTCGGCGCCGTTGAGTCGCTTCCCTTTCCACCCCAAGACAAGCATTGCTGCAGGGGTCAAGGTGTGAGTGGTTTTGGTTCGCTCTAGTGAAAAACAAAACAAAAACAAAAACAAAACGTAAGACATGATACAAAATGAAACACATACGACACCAACAGACCGTCTCCAGTTTCTTTTCTTTAAGTTGTGCGTTTGTCAATGGTACCTAGGGGGCCTTTCGGGCCGTTTTCTTCTAGCCAGGCGTATAAATGCTTGCAGTGAGTCCGTACTATACGAAGCAACGCCTCGGCGTGCTCATCGTTGTCCAGACAGTAGTCCATGAGTGTCCGGATTCGCCTCATGGCGTTCGGGGTCTCGAGGGCCCTGAATAGCTCGGTGTCCGGGTAACGATAAAAGAACTCCTTGTATATTACAGGTTCATAGCACCAGCAACCTTCGATGATGTCGTGCCTGTACGATTGCAGTTTGTACACGCTCATTGTCATCAACCCGAATGTGGATACGCTTTAGAATGCTAGGTTTGCTATGTTATTATATGCGGGGTCCTATGCTTCTAGCAAGGCATACAAATGCATGCAGTGAGTCTGTAGTATACTAATCAACGCCTCGGCACGCTCATCGTTGTCAAGACAGTAATCCACAAGTACCGGGATTCGCGTTACGGGGTTCGTGGTCTCGAGGGACCTGGATAGCTTGGTGTCCGTGTAATGACGAATGAACTCCTTGTATATTACAGGTTCAAAGCAGCAACTGTCGATGATGCTGTGCCTGTGCGCTTGCAGTTTGTCCACGCTCATTGCTACCAACCCAAATGTGGATACGCTTTAGAATGCTAGGTTTGCTCTATTATTGCGTGGTGTACTTATGGGAGAGCAGTTGTCAGTTGGACACTCTCGTGGCTATG